GACAAATATTGTACTTTTCACTCCACTACATTTCTATCAAGGTCCTCGAAGTAGAAAGCCGTATGTAGCAGCTTTGAAAGTCAGTGGGTGATTTTTTTCCTTCTCTAAAACTTGACTTTCTTTTTTTTCAGACTGTTTATCAGTAATCACTCTCGTAGGGCTACATGAAGTGATTTCCCATGCACCAAGAGCTTGTAACACTCCAAAGAGAAAGGAAAAATTTAAATCGCATCATATGACCTCTTTAAATAATATAAACAGATACAAGTTTTGATAAGTACATGTTTAAATTAACATTAACTATGTTAGTCAATGTTAACTAAGGAATAGTTTACCCAAAAATAAATATTGTCGACATTTACTCACCCTCATGTTGTTCCATATAAGTTTCTTTCTTATGCTGAACACATGTGAAAGAAGATATTTTGAAGAACCAAACAGTTGTTGGACCCTTTTGACTTCCAGAGTATGGAAAGAAATGCAATGGAAGTCAATGGGGACCATCAACTGTTTGATTACCAGCATACTTCAAAATATCTTCTATGTTCAACATAAAAAAGAAACTCATACAGGTTTGGAATGACATGGGAGTGAGTAAATGATGACAACATTTTCATTTTGGGTGAACTATTCCTTTAACTATGGAAGTTTATTGTAAAGTTTTACAAAATAATTGTCAGTTACAACCCGTCATAAGAGTGTATTAAATTTAGCACTCACTGTTAGGTGGGTGCCATCTGACAGCATTCAGCTGGGCATTGCAGTAAGGAAACATAAATTCATGTTCAGAACGCTCCACTTGCCCTTGCAACAGAGGCAAGAGATCATGACCATCAATGACTCTGTAATGGAAACAAGTGGTAATGCACTGCGATTACTAGCCTAGTTATTGAGTCTATTTAGCAGTATGAGTAGCCATAATACAAAACATCAATATTCTATACTAATGAGCTACCGGGGATACGTTCATCTTACAAAGTGCCTGAAAACAAATTCTAATCTACTGACTTCTGTATATCCCAATATTTCAATCTACCTCCAGATTAGTTGCATCTATTGTATCTGCATCTGTTGTCTCAGTAACCAAATCTTTGACTGGCAGATCTTGTTGCTAGGCGACAGGTTCTCACCTGTCGCTGGGTATGGAAGCACCAGCTAAATTCAGCACCGTGGGGAAAATATCCATGTTGCTAGTGGGCTCATCAATGACCTTCCCTGCAGGTAAGACACCTGGCCAATGAAGAATCCCCGGTATCCGAATCCCACCTTCCCAGTTAGTTGACTTGCCAGCTGCTCGAGAGACAGCAAAGGATGTGAAATTGCATATTGTTACTGTTCACCTCATATTTAAAACTGAAAATAATGCTGAAATGTGATATTTGTCCACGAGGGTTGGTAGCTCTCAGGACTTTTTTAAGGACAAATCCTCAGAATACAGACAGAATACCTTTGTATATGCCGCTATAACCCCCATGCATCTCTCCATTGATGGAAATCTCTTCCAGGTGAGGCCCCTGATCTGAAGTCATGTACAACAGTGTGTTTTCCTTCAAGTTTAAGCGCTCCAAAGTCTGCATGATCTGACCTAAGAACGGCAACAAGACTGTGAGAAGTCAGATTGACAATTAGATCAATATTAAAATACTAAAACCAACCTGGTGCAACATTTGGCTATAACTACTGGAAAATCTTCCAGTGCAATGCAGTACTGTATTGATCTTTACCAAAATTCTCATTTGGGATTTGTTTAAATCCATAACACTACGGTAGAAACTTTTGCAGTTCGTTTACACGAAACACACTTTTATATAAACAATCAAGGCCCAACAAGCAGAAATATAGAGAAATAAAGAGTGCTCTGATTACACTCGATTACATTGTCTTTAGTTGTGACTGTCTGCAGATCTAGTGGCTTATTCGCTTCTTTAATTGTAATTGGCATTTTTTTTCAATATTTAAAGGGACAGTTCACCCCAAAAAAGCCAATTCTGTCATAATTTACCCTCATGTCATTCCAAACCGTATGTTTCCTTCTTCTGCACAACACAAGAGATCACATTTTGGTAACTAAGCCATTTTGATTACATTTCTCATAATATCTCCTTTTATTATGTTCTACAGAAGACCGCAATTCATGCAGGTTTGGAATGAAATGAGGAGGATGAGTAAAGGATGACAGAATTGTCATTTCTGGGTGAACTATTATTATGTTTCCTTTAGGAAATGCAAATCTAGTCTATGATGTTACACTAATTCGTTTCTGCAATTCGCCTGTGTCAAAAACCAACATTTACCAGTCAAACGTTTTAACGCACTTGACTGATTGTTAGTCGTGATCCTAAAAAACATTGTACCTAAAAGCTTATGCTTTAATGCTTGAAAAATGCAAGACAAATAAATTGTGCCTTGACATAAATTTCTTTAAAATATCTTGTTACCTCCAAAACTTAAAATGCACAATCCAATTATCTGGTTACCAGCTTGCGGTTTGCAACAGACAGAAAAATCAATTCATTCCTTCTGCTTATTCTCCCGAACGCTCAAGTATGACTAAGAGAACTGTCCTTTGCTTTAAAACAGTGATTACAGTATGCATTCAGTGCTATAAACAATGTCACTTTTGCATTTATGTGGTAACTATACTCATTTATTATTAGATTTTTTCCATAGATATTTTTAGAAACCATTCATTGTGCGCTTTTAAGAGACACACTCATTGGTTTATGATGAATTCTTTCTGGGCTCAGTTGCCTCAAAAAATAAATTTAGCAAATATGATAAGTATACCTTAATTAAAGGCAAAACAGCAGAAACAAGTAGTACAGTTTGAGATAATAGCTTATTAACAAGACTTTCCCTGTAAAACCAAAAGGCCCTTTATTGTACTTGCTTTTAAATATCGGCATATTTAGATTATTAACATGACAAGTCAAAAGTCATTCAGTACCTACACTCCAGTCTACCTCCATGACAGCATCACCATAGAGGCCATGCTGACTTCTTCCCCTGAAGAGAGGAGAGGCAAATAGTCCAGTGTGGACTTGGAGGAATGAGAAGAAGAGCAAGAATGGCCTCTCTGAATTCCTGTAAAAAAAAAAATAAAAAAAAAACTTCAATGTTCAATCTTTACATTACCATTGGACAAACACAAAGCACATCATTTCAGGGTTGTGTTATGCCATCAGATCAAGGATTAGAGCCTGGCTGTAAGGGATTTGCTTTTATGTGAGTTTTCACAAGGCTTTGTTTTACATTAAAGGGGTCATATGATGCAATTTCAAGTTTTCCTTTCTCTTTGGAGTGTTACAAGCTGATTGTGCATAGATAAGATCCCTGAAGTTGCAAAGACTAAAGTCTCAAAACCAAAGAGATATTCTTTATCAAAGTTAAGACTCTGCCACGCCCCCCTAAAACGGCTCGTTCTAACACGCCCCCACTTATCTACCTCACTATGTGGAAATATTAGCATAATGCCGCCCAAATGTGCACGCAAAGAAAGAAGGCGTGGTTTCAGTAAGCGCAGTTAGTGTTGAAACAGCCATGTCAGGGTGACGCTGTGTGTTTCTAGGCGAAAGCAAAAGCATTTTTATTTGGCCTTCTGAAAGTAGATGCATTTAGGAATCTTTAAGATTACTTACAACAGAACAGCAATGCATTTTATGGACGACCGTTTCGTGAACCTAGGAGAGGAGGTAATTCTGAATCAGCTACTGTTTTGTTACTAGTTTAAGTATTTGCTATTGACTGTTCAAATGCGGAGTTTTGCACATCGTGTGTGTGTGCGCGAGCGAGCGAGAGAGAGAGAGAGAGAGAGACAGGGTCACACTGTCTTAACCGTGGCTTGTGTACTGCAAACACATACCAGCTTCATCACTGTGTCTGTCACGCGACTCTGTTCCCCTTTCGGGCTCTGTCTTTACATTTATTTTGAAAGATGAAGCTCGCGATTATGGTAAGGGGCGTTACATTTCCGACGAGTGCTTGCGGTGTTCGGCCAATCACAATGCACTGGGTCAGCTGGCCAATCAGAGCAGACTGCGCTTGTCGGAAGGAGGGACTTTGTAGAAAACGAAGCGTTTGAGAGAGGCGGGGCATAGAGGACCTACAATAATGTACAGTATTTGAAAAATAATGTGTTTTTTGAACATTAAAGCATGTCAACATATTCTGTTACACCAGATACACAAAATAATGATCTTTAAAAAAGCATCATATGACCCCTTTAAGGCAATGTCTTACAGTGCCTTACAATCCATATAATACTGCAAGGAGAGAATTTAAACTTGGTCATTACTAGTGGTCGAATCCAGCTGTGAGATCTTGTAAAGTGTGCATTTGTATCCTGCATGATCACGTGTTCTCTGCGTGACGGTCGGTCCGTACGAATTAAATACGGACAGGAGGAGAGTTTAACCTCACTGGAGATGCGCGATCGATAAACTTTAAACTCGTGATTTCAAACTATGCTGAGCTTTATCCATTTGTCCACTGCCATATTCATGTCATTTTCACTGTGTGCTGCATGTAAAAATGACTGTTACCTTGGCTTTATTTAAAAAAATATGATTCCCAATGCACACAAACTTACCAGATTACTGAGAACCCTGTTGGTTATAGTGTTTACTTTCGTTTTAATTGTATTTGTATTAAATATTTATTTATTTATGAAAAATACATTGTCATCTAAAGTATAAGTATGTTTATTTTACACATTAGTTTTTTAATCCATTTTCAAATGATTTAAAATTTCTTAAATATTAATAAAAATAAATAAAATTATATCGGTTTTATATCGGCCATCGTGCTTTCCAAAATATCGGCATTGGCAGTCAAAAAACTAATATCGGTCGACCACTAGTCATTACTATATGAATATTTTATCAGTCCTGTAGCTGAAAACTACAATTTTCCAATAAACAGACTCTCTGTGATGCAGGTACGAGTTGAGGCTCAGAGTTCACAGAAAAAATTAACATTCTGCCATGATTTAGTCGCTCTTATGTGTTCAATCTCATATGACTTTCTTTCTTCCGTGGAACATAAAATTACAAATTTTAAAGAATTGTACTAGTCATTCTTTTCCACACAATGAATTTGGTTCAAAACTTCAAAAAAGGACACAAAAGCACAATAATAGTATTACAAAAGTGGTCCATATGATTTCAAATCCATTTCAAATCTTCTGAAGCCATGCAATAAAGTATGATCATTATTCTGAAGAATTACACTTTTATGCTTTTGTGTCCTTTTTGAAGCTTGAAAGCCTTAAGGCTGGAATACACAACATGACTTTTGCCTCTAGATGTTTGCGGCGATTTGCAGCTTGAAAGAGTCAGCAACCACTCTGCAGTTATTGGTCAGTCATAGTTGACAGATTTCACAGAAAATCGCCTAGTGTATAATGTGCACAGACTGTGATTTTTGTTTTTAGCTGCAGACTGACTTTCTTTCTTCCGTGGAACATAAAATTAAAAATTTTAAAGAATTGTACTAGTCATTCTTTTCCACACAATGAATTTGGTTCAAAACTTCAAAAAAGGACACAAAAGCACGATAATAGTATTACAAAAGTGGTCCATATGATTTCAAATCCATTTCAAATCTTCTGAAGCCATGCAATAAAGTATGATCATTATTCTGAAGAATTACACTTTTATGCTTTTGTGTCCTTTTTGAAGCTTGAAAGCCTTAAGGCTGGAATACACAACATGACTTTTGCCTCTAGATGTTTGCGGCGATTTGCAGCTTGAAAGAGTCAGCAACCACTCTGCAGTTATTGGTCAGTCATAGTTGACAGATTTCACAGAAAATCGCCTAGTGTATAATGTGCACAGACTGTGATTTTTGTTTTTAGCTGCAGACTATGATTCTATCCAATCAGAGGATTTCAAACATATTTTAAGCAGATATTTTGATATTTTAGAACAAATACTGCATCTAGCAACCAGGTGCAGGTTTCTGCAAGAGTTTGTTTTTCAAAACAGCATAAAATACCGCTAATGTGTGATCCTCAGTCGGTGTATGAAGCCCAGTTTTTCCCTATAACCACTTCCAAGTGTATGATTTAGAGTGTTTTAAAATCTGTTCCCATTTTAGTTTTGTAGTGATTCTAGCATTTAGTTGAGTGATCTGTACTTACTTCAAAATGTCTCCTTTTACACTGAAAGTAAAAGTAAGTAATACAGGTTTGGAATGAAAAGGAGAACATAATAACAATTTCCTTTTTGGGTGAACTCTACCTATTGAGGGTTAATAATGCAGAGGCTTAAGCAAGGCCTTCATTTTCAATACAGACCTTTCAAAATGGATTTACAATTTCCCTTGATATTAATTCAGTCACTGCATTTGTTAAGCTCAAAGCGAGTCCCTGAAAAAAGCTTTTCGCACTTTAATATTACGATAAAATGTGGACACACACCTTTCCAGAAACTCTGTGGCTTCACTGGTCATCCTTTGTGTGAGGTTTTCTGATGTATATGGTTGCTCCACAATCTCTGGCCCTCGCATGACAAAGCAATTTAGATTGGGGAATGTGTACACCAACACATCAAAGAGACTCACCACTACCCCTACCAGGACCAGAAAACCAAAAACTACCCTCCTGGTCACAGTTATCATGCCTTTAATATGGAGTAACGCCAGGGAAACTAGACCAATACTAAGGGCCTTGTATGGGATGTAACCATGGACGAAATATAGAACAGAGCCATGTCCAGGCTGGCAGTCCCGAAGGTGCGTCATAATGGTGCCATAGAAGTAGTCAAAGCCATGAGAGTTAGGATGGTGGCAGTGGTCAGCACTGTCTTCACAGTTGAGACCCACGTGCCATTTCCCTAAAAAAATGTGTTTATAAAAATCAGCAATAGATGTGATGACTGGCAAAACATTACAAACACAATAAATCAGGGATCCCCAAATCATAGCCCTTGAGGTCCACTTTCCTGCAGAGTTTGGCTCTAACCCTAATCAAACACACCTGAACAAGCTAATCAATGTCTTCAGGATCATTAGAAAATCATAGGTAGGTGAGTTTGATCAGGGTTGGAGCTAAACTCTGCAGGAAAGTGGATCTCGCGAGCCAGATTTGAGGATTCATGCAATAAAGAGGAAAAAAATAAATAAAAATAAAAAAGGAATTAGAACTGAATGTTTGTCCTCCTAACATTTGTTCAGTATCACCATGGGAAATGTTCAGTGCAGTCTGAACCTCAGTGTGCTTATCAAATCACAAAATGCTGCAAAATAAATAAGTCTGTACTCTGCATTTCAGAACGAAGCATGGCACTGTGTTAATTTACACTGATGCAGTTTATGATCCAGTGTTTTCAGCGTTTCACTGTGAACTTCATCTGTGCATGTGCTACCAGTTTAACACAGTATTTGTACAGTATTTGGGAAGGCACCATGCACCTGGTTCACTTAATTTTCCAAGTCACATCATTTCTAACTTTTTGTGAACAGAGGTTTTGTAAACACAGAAACGTTAAAGTCTCCCTGCAGTTTTCTGCTAAAAGCATGAGGGTTTAACTCTTGCAAGTGAAGAAATTAATACATATGTATTGTTATTTTATTATTATAAAGTACTTTTGGTAACACTTTACAATAAGGTTCCATTTGTTAACATGATAACTAACAATGAGCAAGACATTTGTTACTGTATTTATAAATTTTTGTTAACAGTCAATAAAAATACAACTGTTCATTGTTAGTTCATGTTCAGGTCCATTAAATTATATTAACAGATACCACCTTTCATTTTAATAATGCATTAGTAAATGGTGAAATTAACTTTGACTAAGATTGATAAATGCTTTAGACGTATTTTTCATTGTTAATTTATTTTAACTAGCTACTTTTTTCCATTTCACAGCACAGTTGTGTTACATAGTAATATATTTCTGTCTGAGCTAATATTAATAATAATATTAGTACTCAAATCGTTTGGCTTCCTAGAAATAATAGTGTGAACATAATATAGACTGAGACATTATGATAACAGTCCACAAAACTGACCACTTTAAAGTCCAGGTAACATTTTTTTTTCTCGTCACATTGGTAACTGAAAAGAGAATGCACTTCTTAATTTTGCTCCCAAAGTGCTCCAGATTGATGCATGGACTTCCATATATTCAGCCACAGCTGTAAAGTATTGTCTCGCATTATTTGTCTCACCAATTGGTTCACATTTTTTCACATAGACATTTACCTGCAAACAACAAATTTCCTAGGTTTGCCTGAGACACAGGACTCACAAATATCAAACAATAGCTTTTGGGCTCTCACTTGCCCCTTGGGTGTTACAAGAGGCTTTGAGAAATGTCGGTTTTAGAGTGTCTGCTTATTTAGACAATCCACTTCTCTGCACTCCCTCTCAGAACGAGGAAGGGACAAGCAGATTCCTTCAGGATGTGCCTTCGTCTGTTGGGCCTAATGGTTTGGACATGGGCTGTTATTCTCCTGGGGTTTTTGCAAAACCTGGGTTTGGACAGCAACAGAACATTTGTGTGCCCACCCTTACTTCAACTGGCAGCTGATAGGTTCTTCAGCTTGCATTCAGGACTCCTCATTTCTAAAAACTGTAACCTAACTAGGTCCCGTTTCACAGAGAAAAGTCGCTAAACATGAACACTAATTCGCTGAGGTGCTGAGTTTGAGGGCAGAGGAGCGAAGGGCTTACGGCCCCCATAATTTCAAAGGACACATAAATTACCTTGAATTATTCTTCCTGTTTTTTTGGTTTTGAAACTCTGCACACTTTCTCTGAAAACACTGCATTTTGGTCAGATCAGACAACACCACAGCGGTGGCATGCAATCAGCAGGAGGACACCCACTCGTCACAGCTGCACAGTTTGGCAGCTGAGTGGAGAAGTGCACGTCCCCATTCATTATATGCAACTCTAATCAACTGGTGAATTAAGTGTGCGAGAGATACGGATATGTCATTTTATGAAGGATGCAAATCGTCTAAAATCCACTAAACCCATTCTCGGATCTAACTGTGATTTTGAACACACTCCCTCAGCCCCCCAACCAAACAGTGATTTCCTACAGAAGATGAAAAACATATACTGTTTCCTGCAAAGTGAGTCAGCAAGCTGCATACTCTATCACTCTAAACCAGTTGCATGCATTTTGTACTACCCCCTCCCCCCTCCCCCCTTTTCCCTTTTTTTAGTCCAGAAGATGAAAAACATATACTGTTTCCTGCAAAGTGAGTCAGCAAGCTGCATACTCTATCACTCTAAACCAGTTGCATGCATTTTGTACTACCCCCTCCCCCCTCCCCCCTTTTTTTAGTCCCTTAAACCGAATCCACATTTGTCCCTGAGGTGAGCCAGTCATCTGTACAGCTGCTAGCTTTTCATCCAGTGGTATATGACACAATATCACTGATTTTTGAGACACAGGACAACATAAACTACATAAGTGAATAAACAAACAAATAAATCAATCAATTAGACAATCAATCATGGAATTATTTTGGATTATTGAGTTAAACATGTTAGAGGTTTTGGTGAAACCACCTGCTTACTCCCTTTTCCCACAAAATGTGCTTTCCTTGCCATTATGTCAACATAAACAAGCAGATATGAATGTCATATCTAATATTTATTATAAATATTGACAAAACTAGCATATAAATGAGCAAATTATTTTTTTTAAAGAACTAATCAAAAGTGACAGTTAAGAATTTACAAAATAAATAAATAATATACTGTTCTTTTGAGCATTCTATTCATTGCAGAATTACAGTTTCCACAAAAATATGAAGCAGCACAACTGTTTTCAACAGTGATGATAACAAGAAATGTTATTTGAGCAGCAAATCCGCATATTAGAATTATTTCTGATTGCTTGTGTGATGCTGAATACTGGAGTAATGGATGCTGAAAATTCAGTTTTGCATCACAGTGGTTTTCAGTAATAATTTTGATTAATAAAATAATACAATAAAATGGTGTGTGTGTGTGTGTGTGTGTGTGTGTGTGATAAGAGCATTCTATTACTAATCTTGGATTATTTTCAAAGGGGAAATGTTGCTATTTTCAAATCCTGTGACAAGTAAATTTATTGACATCTTTTGTTCCATGTCCCAAGAATCAGTGATACCAAATTATAATAGTATGAGCTTGCAACCCCAGGAGAGTTTAAGCAATCAATCTGCATCATAGATGCTATTTATAGGATTACTCCACCCCAAAATGAAAATTTTGTCATTGACAATTACTCACCCTCAAGTCGTGCCAAACTCGTACGACCTCCGTTCATCTTCGGAACACGAATTAAGATATTTTTGATGCATTCTGAGAGCTCTCTGACCCTTCCATAGACAGCAATGTAAGTAACACGATCAACATCCAGAAACGTAGCAAGGACATCTGTAAAATAATCCATGTGACATCAGTGGTTCAACCATAATTTTACGAAGCGACGAGAATACTTTTTGTACGCAAAGTAAACAAAAATAATGACTTTATTCAACAATTCGTCTTCATCACCCTGGCGCCATTTTGGAGAGTGTCCACTGAACGCAAACAGCGTATGCTATTCTGTGTCAGCTGTGTCACGCGGATACGTTTTCTACTTTTCTACGTCCAAAATGGCACTACGGTGATGCAGAGGAGACAAATTAATTACAAATTAATTAATCAATTAATGACAATTAATGACAAAATTTTCATTTTGGGGTGGAGTAACCCTTTAAGTGCATATCCCTCCAAAGATATAAGTGCCAAGTCAGCTTGGAAATCACTACACTCAATCAAGAGATTTTATATGTTGTATACTGTAATACTACACTGCTCTAAGTCCAAAGTTTATAAATAAATAATATAATTTATTTAATTTGATTCATACAAGCTATGAAGAGATCTTAGCCCAATTAATCATAAACAACAACACTGGATTATCTGAACTACGTGCTATTTGCAATATGGAGCTGTTTGCATTCCTAATGAGATATCAAATGATTTTAAATTTAAATGCTAACCATTCTCTGACAATCATGTGATCAATGTGATCTCGACACACTTCACTCAGTCAGAACAAAAAAGAGATGTTAAGAATTGCGCAATGACAGATGACCCTTGTCATTCCCGTGACCTGTCGGTCAGCCACCACATGTATTGTCATCAGTCACGCCTGAGGCATTTCCCACAGTGATATACTTTACAGGATCCTGTTACCGTATAACCAGAGTTATGTAAGTAACATACCAATTACAGCAGTAGAATAGCCTTGCTCTTTGACAGCCTTGGCAAAGGTGATTTCTTCTTGTGAAAGGCCTCCTGACGATGCAGAAAAGAGAAAAACTCCCATACGCCCATGTGCTGCCATACCTATGGCATCCAAAAAA